ACGCTTCCGCCTGTGCCGAACTCTTCAGGCAAATTGTTCCGGCTTCCACTCCGATTCCCGAGACGAAGGACCTCTTCCGTCCCAAGTCCTATGCCCGGGTCGCGAGATCCGCCTCTGCTGTAAGTTTCCTTTTCTTTCGGTACTTAGACATTTTTGCTTTAATTCGTTATTGACTTTATCTTAATTTTCAGCTTGTCTGCGATACGAACGAACTTGCTCGGGAGTACGATTCCGAGGTCGAGAGACTCAGGAATATTAATGCAGAAGTTGCTGCAGAGAGGGCGTCGTTGGAGGCGTCATATCGGGATGAGAAGGAGCGCTATGAAGATTCCGTGCTGGCTTTCACTGAGAAGGAGAAGGAGAACGTTGCTCTGAAGGAGAAGGTCGGGGCTTTGCAGAAACGAGCTGGCGAGCTGGAGGGTGATTTGGATGCTTTATCCAAATCCTTCAAAGCGAGCGAGACCGAGAGGCGGAAGTTCTGGGACGCTGAGTCGAAGGGCCGGAAGATGATGGCGGCGCTGAGGAACAAGTGCGAGGGGAAGCTGGCAAAGATGAAGCACTTCATGGACAAGTCCGAGCAGAGAAAGGCGCCGTTCCTCAAGCTCAACCAGGCCACTGCTTTGGTCGGCTTCTGTGACTTCCTTAGACGGGAGCACAACCTCATCGTCCCGTCTCACATTGTGGAGACGTACCAGCGGAGGGTGAGAAACTGCACGAAGGAGGTCGATGACATCCCTCTTCCGCGGTTCGGGAACGAAGACTTCACTCTTCCGGGCGATGCTAAGCTTATCTCGAGGATCGAGCTTCCACCGGGGACGCAAGTTCCAGAAGGCTTGGACCAGTTCGGCTCGAATTCCAAGTCCATCTCGGCTGACCGGGCAGCGAGTTTGAAGAGTCCGGCTTCTGTTGCTCGCCAGTAGATTCCTTAGTTGTTTTTCTATGTTGTTTTAGGTTTTATAGCTTATCTTACCCGCGCAGTTCGGGTTTAACTTATTGTTTTGTCGCGGGTTTTTGGCGTTATATTGTTGTCGTCTAACTCGACAATTTCCGGATATTTTAATAGAATGATCATGGATATTTTTTCTCTTAGTATTTTACTTAGAATTTACTCTCCTCCTATTGCGTAGTTTATTTGCAAACTGTTGGGAGTTCGGCTTGTTCTCCTTAAATTGGGGAGTTCGTGATGATATGATGACGATGCGAACGAACTCGGGGAGCTTTTCCGAATTTGAGTCCGGGTTGAAGGATCGCTTATTCAGAGGAGCGAGTGCGGATTGGGTTCCAGCTTTAAGTGATGGAGCATCATGGGGATGCGGGCGAGACTGATCTCGGCTTTGGCAAGGGATCAAGCCACTTGTAGTTCAGTTTACAGAGGTGAGTTCGGCCGGAGCCGAACTGTTTTTTTTTTTTTTTTTTTTTTTGGGAGCGCTGGTGGCGCTAGAAGGATAGGTCCGAGCTCGCGATGGCTGGGACTTATTAGTAGTACCGTTTGAGGTTGGCCGAGTTCCATGATCGCGGGATCGGCGTTCCGTCGAGCTGCATGAGTTCGTATACTCTGGGCTAAACGACTCTCATTACTTGATATGGGCCTTCCCAGTTCGTGCCCAGCTTGCCTGCATTTAGCTCTTCGGTGTTGTGGAATACTTTACGCAGGACGAGGTCGCCTTCGTCGAAGTGCCGACCTCGCACTTTCTTGTTGTAGTACCGGGCAGCGAGGCGTTGGTAGTTCTGGATTCGGAGGAGAGCTAAACATCGTTGTTCTTCCAAGGTATCGAGGTTGTTGAGCATCATCTGGTCGTTGAGGTCGGGGTTCTCGGGGAGCACGGCGAATCTTAAGGTCGGGATGCTAACTTCGGCCGGACAAAGGGCATCGATTCCGTATGCCAAAGAGAAGGGAGATTGTCCGGTTGATCGTCATGGACTAGTTCGATGCGACCATAAGACTCCGTCAAGCTCATCCGCCCAAGTGCTTTTCTTAGCCTCGAGACGCTTCTTTATGCCGTTCAGGATGGTCTTGTTGGTTGCCTCGGCTTGACCGTTGCCTTGCGGATAGCGTGGGGTTGAGAAACTAAGACGAATTTTGAATTTTGCGCACCAATCATTGAACGTTCCTGCAATGAATTGTGGTCCGTTGTCTGTGACGATCTCGTGCGCGACCCCGTGTCGGCAGATGATGTACTTCCAAACGAATTTTTGAACGTCAAGGGCGGTGATCTCGGGGTACGCTTCGGCTTCGACCCATTTCGTGAAGTAATCTGTCATGACCAGGATGTACTGCTTTTGACTTGTTGATCGGCATAGGGGTCTGATGATGTCCATGGCCCATCACATGAAGGGATAAGGTGCCGTACTGGTTTGAAGCAGTTCGGTAGGCACGTTAATCATTGGGTCGTGTCGCTGGCACTTGTCATATTTCATGACGAACTTCTCGCAGTCCGCGCTCATCGTCGGCCAGAAATAACTGGCTTTTTTAACTTTCAGGACAAGGGACCGTCCTCCTGAATGATTGCCACCGGATCCTTTGTGGATTCCGCGCATGATCTTGATTGTATCGTTTCCGCTAACACAGGCCAAGAACACCCCGGACGCGCTCCATCAGTACAATTTATCCTTATGTATGGTGTAGTGGGCGGCTCGGACTTTAAGGCGGCGAGCGGCCCATTTATCTTCAGGGACTGTTCCGTTGAAGAGGTAGTCTCGCAGCTCGGTTGTCCAATCTTCGGCAAGCTCGTTTCTTTGATTCTCATTCATTGATGGGTTATAGATTTCTTCGGTTATGTGCTCGAAATCGTGGTCGTCGATTGGATCTTCGGGAACCTCTTTGGCACCCTCACTCGTGTGTGCCGGGTTCCTTCGTTGCGTTTTTGGCGGGATCGGTTTGGATTATCGTCGTAGTTCCGTCGCCGAGTAGCAACGTTGCATTCCTGTACGGTTTTGATGCTTGGCTCAGAGATGCTCTCGACCGGGATTTTCCTCTTCATGTGTGGGTCGGAACTGGAGGATAGAGCGGCTAAGGCATCTGCAGACGAATTCTCTCCGCGAGGGATTTTTGTGAGTTCGAATGTTTCAAACTCCGAAATGAGTGCCTTAGTTGCTCTTAAGTACGCATCCATTCGGTCGTTTTTAGTCGTGTACTCACCAATTAGCTGGCTCGCAACGAGCTGCGAATCGCAAAAGGCGTGAAGATGTTTGACGCCGAGCTCCTTAGCTAGTCGTAGCCCGGCAAGTAGGGCCTCGTATTCGGACTCGTTGTTGGATGCTGGGAATTCAAAATGGAATGATTGTTCGAGTATTTCGCCGTTCGGGGACTTCAAGCGAATTCTGACACCCGATCCTCGGTGCGATGAGGATCCATCAGCGTGCAATGTCCACAGCTCGCGGGGCGGCTGTTCGACGATGAATTCTTTAGGAAGCTCGATCAGAAAATCGGCCAATACTTGGGACTTTGCGCTGGTTCGATTCTTGTTTTCAATGTCATACTCGTTTAGTTTGACGGCCCACTTTGCGAGGCGACCTGACTGGCTTGGACTGTGCAGAATTGTGCGGAGCGGCTGGTCGGTCAGGACGGTTACAGAATGAGACTGGAAGTACAGTCGAAGCCTCCGAGCAGAAACCACTACTGCGAGCGCCAATTTTTCTAAGGTTGGATATCTGGATTCGGCGTCGCTTAATGATTTGCTGACATAGAATATTGGACGCTGTTCTCCCCTATCTTCTCGGACTAGAACGCTGCTAACCGCCGTGGCGGAGATTGCAATGTATAAGAAGAGCGTCTCGCCGGTCTCGGGCTTGGCTAAGATCAGGGGGGGGGGGTCGAGAGATACGTTTTCAGCTGTTTGAAGGCGTCTTCGCACTCCGCGCTCCAAGTATGATGCTTGTTACCTCGTAACAACTGGTTAAAAGGCAGGCACTTGTCGGTCGACCTGGAAATAAACATGTTCAGAGCGGCGATCCGACCTGTGAGCTTTTGAACTTCCCTTTTTGAGGTCGGGGAAGGTAAATCCAAGACTGCGGATATCTGTTTAGGGTTGGCCTCAATACCGCGCTCTGTAACAATATAGCCGAGGAACTCTCCTGCAGTTACGCCGAATGTGCACTTCGCGGGGTTGAGTTTCATCCCGTACTCGTTAAGGATATCGAAGCACGTTGATAGGTGCGTTATGTGGTCCTTGGCATGAAGAGACTTAACCAACATGTCGTCTATGTATACCTCCATCGTCTTCCCGAGCTGACTGGCAAACATGCGGTTCACGAGTCTTTGGTACGTGGCGCCTGCGTTTTTGAAGCCAAAGGGCATGACTTTGTAGCAGTAGATTCCCCGATCTGTGATGAACGAAGTCTTTACACGATCGTCCGGATGCATCAGTATTTGGTTGTACCCCGAGAAGACGTCCATGAAAGATAACAGTTCGTTGCCGGCTGTCGCTTCTACCAATCGATCAATGTGAGGTAGTGGAAAACTCTCTTTGGGACATGCTTTGTTCAGGTCGGTAAAGTCGACGCAGATCCTCCACTTTCCGTTCTTTTTCTTTACGACTACTGGGTTCGCTAGCTAGTCCGGGTACCGAACTTCCGTGATTGAGCCAGCTTTAAGTAATTTTTCAACCTCATCGTTGACTGCCCGGGCTTTTTCGGGTCCGAGCTTGCGTCTCTTCTGCTTGATCGGTTTGTATGTTGGGTCGATATTTAGTTCATGGCAAGTGATATCTGGGTTGATTCCGGGCATGTCGCTGATGGACCATGTGAATGTTGCGACGTTCTTTTGGAGGAAACTGATGAGCGCTTCCCGAATGTTGTTGTCGAGTTCGGCCCCTATACCAACACATTTTTCTGGGTCTGTCGGGTCGATGCCGACTTGTTCAACTTGGCTCTGCTTAGGTGGACCAAACTGACTAACTGCGGTCGTATGATCCTCCTGAAAAGGGCTGATGAAGCAGGTTCGCGCAAGGCTGATCTTGCATTCGGTAAGGTGACATAGTCGAGACGCGGTCTGGCTTCCTTTAAGGGTGTAGATCCCTGACGGGGTCGGGAACTTGACGCATTGATGTCGAAGCGACAGTTTTCATGTCGAACAGCCAAGGTGTTCCCAAAATAGCGTTATTTATTGCCGGCTTGTTGAGAACCAAGAACTTGATCATTCGTGCCGACCCGCCGACATAGATTGGTATCTTCACCGTTCCAACTCTCCTTGTTTTCTCTCCGGTGAACCCGGTTAACGACTCCATGTAGGGCTTGATTTCAGAATCCGGGAAATCCATATTCTTAAGTGTTTCTTTGCCGATGACATTTACCGAGCTCCCAATGTCAATTAATATCCTGCTTACTTCGACAACTCCGAGCTGAAGCTCGACGACGAGGCAATCGTTTTGAGGCATGTGCACTCCCCGCAGGTCGGCATCAGTGAATAATAATGGTACAGTTGCCACCGTTGTCTGGGGTTGTGAACTCGATGCCTGCCGGCTATACTCTTTCAGTGCTCTGACGGAGTAGTTGCACGATTCGAGGGCTCCCATGATCATGTTGACCTTCTTCCTGGTTTTGGGAACGTTCGTTTCCCGGTTAGGTGCTTCGCGGTCTCATTTTGGGGGGGGGGGGGGGGGGGGCGGCCTGCTCTTCATCAGAATCGGCTGCCTTCGCCGTCTCCTGGTTACCGGGTTTGTTTTGTCGCGGGTTCGGCCGTCGGTGTCCGGGTTTAGGCAGATCCGCGGTGGCGACTTCCCCCTTACGGAATTGTTGAAGTAAGAAATCCCTCAAATGCTGGCATTCCTCCGAGCTGTGCCCATATCGCTCGTGATACTCGCAAAAACGTTCATGCAGTGGCGTATCGTCCTCTCTGTTCCATGTATTCCAAGACTTTGGTGGCCGCCCTGGTTTATGGTTTGACGGTCCGGCTTGGTTCACTACTCCGTGCTGCCTGCCGGGCTGGGCTTTTGTTTCCGAGTTCTCCTTGACAGCCAAGGTCTGGTCGGGTTTTGACGCTAAATACTGCCGATCTTTGGCGGCTTCCTCCTCTTCTTCCGCGATGAAAATGTTTGATTTGTGAAGCGCGTCCTCCAGAGTGAGTGGTCTATTCCTGCGAAGTTCCTTGTGAAAGGGGGATTTGTACCACGTTTTCTGATATAGCGCTTCGAGGGCGGCTTCGTCGTCCACTGTACAATGTGCCATGATCTGCTTGAACCGTGCCATGAAGTCTTTGAGCGACTCGGTTTCGCCTTGTGACATTTCCCACAGCTCGGAGTTACGTGTTTTTTGTCCAATGAACATTGAAAAATGTTTCGCAAATTTTGTCGATAGCTCTTTGTAGTTGTCAATGGAGTCGGCTTCCAATCTTGAGAATCAATCTAGTGCGATGCCTTCAAGGTGTTCGACGAACAATTGGCATTGAATTGCGTCCTTCTGTTCAGCCGAGGTGAACTTGAGTCGATTGATCATGATGCCGAACGATGTAAGGAAATGTCTCGGATCCGAGTTCCCCTCATACAAACGCAGTTTGAACTTCTCTAGATTGGGAACGGGAACGTTGGTAATTCGGGAAGTGAACGGTGTTTTCTGTGCTTCCTGGATTACACGGTCGATTTCAGGTGCCGAGCTGGTGGCTTGGTGGAATTTGGAACTGATTTCTCGTAATTGGGCTTGCATCCGCTCGATTTCTAGGTCGCGTGCAGTCGGCTGAGCGCGCGCTTGCTGGGGTGGGCTTTCGAAATGCTGCTGCATGACCGACCGCGCCGCCGTGTGCTGTGGGTCTTGCTCTTCCTGAAAGTCGCTGATGAGGTTTCGACGTCTAAGCGGACTCTCTTGTTGCAAGCTAGAGATCTGTGCGGTAAGAGTCGCGAATTTGGCATCGTTGCTTCGGACCAGTTCCTGCATTTGAGCAGCAAAAGCGTTCATGAGTGAGGTTGGATCGAAGGCAGCTGTCGTCGCATGGCGGGCTTCAGCGCTCGAGCTCGGCTCCGCTCTAGTCTGTTGCACATCAGGTTGAGGTCACACGGGGCTGCGAACATCTTCGTCTGTATGTCCTCCGACCTGGGTGGGGTTGTCCTCACAGTTTGTCACGTGACTTCCGACCTGGACCGAGGTCGGTTGTCTTTCGTCAGTCGTCATGTCTTCGAGGTCGATTACCGAATCGGCCCCACGGTGGGTGCCGGTTGATTGTGGTTCTCAACTATTTAGGGTCGGTTCGGTAATTCGAGTTCGGAAGATTGATTTTATTTAATTAAGTTTCAAGTTTACAGTTCGTTCAGTTCAGAGGTCTCTCGACGAACTGGATACAATAATATTGAGGTCTCAATGTCTCCGGGTCAGAAAAGATCCTCTTCTACAGTGACAAATCCTCTATTTATAGTACATTAACGAGGAGAAGACTTAGGGCTTCCTCGTCGTCTCTCACCGCCTCTTGTTGCTGGGCCTATCTCCTAGCGGGCCGCGCTATCAGGCCAGGCCCATTTCAGTTAAGACTGTCGTAAACCGGAATCAATTGGGCCGATCTTGGTCGTTAACCGGTCCGAACCGGGTAGCGAAGGGTACCTCCAACACTACTCTTTTTTGTTTATGTATGTGAATGAATAGATCTCGAGGACTATTTTATTATCAAATTAATTTCCTTTAATTAATCAAAAACCGCCAAAAAAATGATTTATCAAGAGATGCTTGTTCCTGTAGTAAAATATGTTTCCATAGAAGTTTCCAAGTAAATCAGACAACAATACGATTGGTAAAAAAAAGTGGACTAATCCGACTTTCGTCTGATCTAGAATGGATTGAACAAATGTTTTAGACAATTTCCGAAAGATGGTACAAATGGAACAATGCATATGTCTCTTTCGGTACTAATGTGTAAAAAGAGTTTAATTCACTACGTAACATATCATATATTATAAGCGAAGTAAAAATTTTGTTTTAAGCTCTCTCATTGAATCTCAGAGTGGCTAATTACCCTTTACCCCTCCTTAAAATTATTTTTAATTTAATAACAAAAAAAATTGTTTATAACTAAAATCACGATTATAATATAGGTTGTAATAATATTAAATCAAATAAAAATACATGATTTTATCTCAATCTGATCAAAATCTACGATTTTATCAAATCAAAAATCACGATTTTACAACTAAAATCACGATTTTTTAAAACAAAAATAAAATAAAAAAAATAATTTTATTTAATAGACAATTTGCTAGAAATTCTACATTCTGGTCAAAATTAAGTAAATGGGAAAAACAGAAAATTGATAAGACGGTTGTCGGACACTTTGAAAGTGTTATTACTTTTCAACCCCTCTTTCTTTTGTTAGGAGTCTTTCTTCCCGTATGGAGTTTCTCTTTCATCATTTTTCTTTCGTTAACATATAAGTTATACAACTACATAACTTATTATCATACTACATACTTTATTAATATGATAAATGTTATGTTATCTTGCTAATACTAAGTTTATATCAATAAAAGATATGTTATCTTGCTAACACTAAATTTGTATTCGTTAATAATTTATTTAACGTTTCTAATATACTATTTTTATCCGCTAACAATTTATTTATCATCTCTAACATAATATTTGTATTCGCTAACATGTTATTTATTTTCAAAACATTGAAACTTAGTTAGAGGTAAGACATTGGCAGCTATCTACGTTTTAGAGCAAATACATTTGCAGCTATCTAGGTTACTTTAAAGTATGATATTAATTTGTTTAACGCGATACAAATAAATTTAACATGTTAACAACTTATATATTGCACTAAAACATCTGCCTAGAATCAGTATCCATGGCGACGAAAGGGAAATCGTCGACGACTTCTCGAATCAGTGCCATCTCTGATTCAAGATTCTCGTTCCACACTTCGCAGATTTGTATTGAGTCGTCATCTGGAAACATTGTCATGATTTGTGATGAATCTTGACAGATCTAGAGCAAAATTCGATCTGGTTTGCAGAACTTAAAAAAAATCAATAATTTCTACCATTAGAGCACAGAGAACAAAATCTGAGCAGGTACGTATTGAAACATTTGAGCAAAAAAGACAACAATAAATTATAGTTTTCATCGCTGTCTATGCTTCAAATTGTAGTGAGGGAGAAAAAGAAATAGGTGAGAGAGCGAGTGTTCGTCGCTATATGCTTCGAATTGTAATGAGGGAGGGAAAGAGATATGTGAGAGAGAGAGAGAGTTAGAGGAATACTAAATAGGGGTAAGATTGTATTATTGAAAAATGCACAGTGTTTGAATAGTTGTTTTTCCCATTTATCTAATTATGAATAGTAACAAAGTCATATGGTACATTTAATTTATTAAAAATCGAAACTTATAATATATAATTATGTTACTCCATAAATCTTTAAGTAAATCTTACTTAATAGATACTTAGATATTGTTTTTAAAAAAATATATATATATATATATTTATATGAATTATAAAAAAACATTAAAAAATGAAAAATCATCATATATAGTTATGTTACTCTCTTAATCTTTAAGTAAGTTTTGATAAATACTTAGATATTGTTTTCTAATATAAAAAAATATATGAATTATCCGATTTGCATTTTTTCTTCACTTACACGGTTGTAATGTTTGGCGATCATGTAAGCTATATATTTCGTGTGTTTCACATTAGTGATCTTGTGACTTCTTAAAAAAATAGTTTTTGTGCTTTCTAATTTTCTATTCGGTTGTTATTTTTGTTTTATATTTGTTTATGTTAGCTCATGTAGATCTACATTCTTTTATATATATTAGGTGATACCTTGTGTCTTCCCTTTTATAGCTCTTTCAGGAATATATTTTGTTCTGATGTATATTAGAAGTTGGATTATATTTATATTTTACAAATTCTTCTTATTAATAATAGCGTTTGATGTTTTTTTTTTCTGTTTAGGAGGTGGTGTTTTAGCCGGACTTTCTTGATCGTTGATTGTTTAGTTTACTGCTATACCGAAAGGTAACATTTTATTTTCTTTTTTGTGCTTTAGGTTTAGATTTGTGATTTTTTAGTATCTATCATATTTATGTTTTATATATTAGCCAGTTTTGGTGCACTTTTCTTTCTCTTTTATTAGTTTGGGCTGAGTCGAGCTTTTTTATTTATTTATTGATTCTTATCTGTTTTAAGTTTTGATTGTTTTTTTTTTCTTTCTTAGGTGCTCGCGTTTTATTGTTTCATCTTGCAATGCAACAAATTTCATTTGCTGGTGATGAAGACATAGATTATGGTCATGAACCGAACCAGTTCTTGGAGTCAGATATGAGCGTTTTATATGTTTTAAAACATTATTACAAAAAGAACATGTATTATGTTTTGTGGTGTAGGCTCTTGGTGACGATTCAGAATGGTCTATAGGACATACAGTGTCGAAATTCCTCATGGCAATGAACGTGAGTTCACCTGGTTCTTGTGAAGGTTGCCAAGCTGATTGAACTTTCGGAAGGTACATGAAACTTTAAAAGAACACATATAAAAGCACAGGTTTAATCATCTGATTATAGATTATTACTTGATCTGATGAATCCTAAATTTATAACAGTTCAAA